TGAATGACCTTTCAGTTTTCCTCAGAGGCTGTTCCTGAGCTGATATTACAGTGCAATGGAAGTGACCCCCTGTCCCTCCGAACTTTGTTACCCAGGGGCATCAACTGGACAGACACGCTTATGTTTGCTGTTGTGTGGGAGTGTCCTTGGGCGGCTCCCTGGGCAGTGCCCCAGGGAGCCTCTTCCTTTGCGTGTGTACAGTGGCTTCCTCTCAACTGGAAGTGCACGCAACACAAGTTTGTCAGTTTTGATTTCCCCTGTGCTGGTTTAAACCCCCTTTTTTGCAAAATATTATGGAGGTGAAGGAAACTCAAAGGAGGATAAAATTAGATTAGGAGCCCCCTGTAGATGAATTGTTCTGCCTTACGTCCTGCACCTGGCAGATCTTGGGACCTTGTTTATTATGCCCTCAGTTTCTAGTCCTGGCATTCTCCAGATTGCTCCGTCAGGACAGCCTGTAAGGGGGTGTGAATGGAGGGTTTGTGAAATGGTGTGAATGGGGCTCTTGTAAAGGAAATGAGGTCCAGAAGCCTCAGGCCCACATCAGCCACTCTGGGTGCTGATCCTCTTAGATTTTAAAACCTGCAGAGGCTATTACTATTGTTATTAATTATTAGCGTTATTTTATAAATCTGCTTTTTGTCACTTCAATCAGCAATTCTCCCTATTCTTTAACCTCATCTGGTTACCTCACTTTTTTTTTTTTTAAAGATTTCAGGAGTTGCACCTCTATACCTTCCTTGTAGATTTAACTGTGTTTTCAATGATCAAGAATCTGAATTCTTTAGGGTTAAAATGAGTCGGCCTCTGCAAAATGAAAAATCATATAGTTTAGTAAGGAAGTGTTTTGATGCTCTTTGAATACATTGGGTAGTAATATAAGAGAACGGGGAAATTAGTAATTTGATTGCTAAAGTAACTTTTTCCTAATTTGTAATAAATAACATAGCTGGGGACTCTCTTCATGTAGTTCTGGGACATAAAGTGGTATGACTTGTAAATTATACATTTCTATTCATTTTCAGTTTAACTAAAAAGGGCAAGAGTGAAGATTAGCAGATTAAAATAACAGAAATCTGGTTCTGAGCAAGCTAAAAGAGGGGAGAAATCAAACTATCATTTTTAACCTTTCATTTTTAGCTTTCTCTTTCTACTTTTTAGTGTTATTTTATAAAGTTAATTAAATCCTTGAATCGGTAATTTCTTTTGACTGCTACTAATAGAGACTCAAAAGACCAGGGGCTTTAACAAAATAAGGCTCCCACCCTTTTTTTCTTTCATGTAAAGCAGAGGCAAGCTGTCCAGGACTAGTACAGTGGCTTCATGGTCATTAGGAGCCCAGGCTCCTTCCCTCTTTTTTGCACCTCCATCCTTGGTGTGTGCCTTCTATGTTCAAGGTCACCTTACTGGTAAGAGGTGGATGCTAGAGCTCTATCTATCACTTCTCCCTGGCAGACATCAGAAAGAAGGAACGGAGATGGATAAAGGCACTTGAATCCTAGTTGAAGCAACTTTGGAAGACCTTCCCCTGAAACATTCCCCAGTAACTTCTGCTTAAATCTCATTGGCCATCTGTATCTATGAAGGAGGTGTGGGTTTTCAGCTGGGCACATTGCAGTGTCAAACTGTGTAAATGTACTTTACTAAGGAAGAAAGAAGAATGGCTACTAGATGAGCAAGTAGCATCCTCTGCTGCCGTCACTGTGGTTTTACTTCCTGCTTTGGGCAGGCCTACCACCTGGGTATCATGGTGAGGGCAAGGGGAACAATCAATCCACAGACCAGGCTGCATTGGTCAGTATAATCCAAGAATAATTCATGTCTGTCATATCCTTGTATTACCATATCATTATAACATGGTGTATTGTTTTACTATGGCTGCTATAGCATTATCATAAACTTGGTGGCTTAAGGTAATAGAAATTCATTTTTTTTCCCACAATTCTGAAGACTGAAAATCCAAGGCCAATTTCACTGAGCTGAAATCAGTGTTGAGAAGGCCGTGCTATCTGGGGGCTCTAGGGGAGAACCCATTTCTTGCCTGTGCCAGCTTCTGTTGGCTGCCAGCAGTCTTGGGCTGTGGGTGCATCGCTCTAGTCTATGCTTCCATCATCACATCGCTTGCTCATCCCTGTGTCTCAGAACTGCCTCCCTTATCAAGAGGCATGTGATTGCATTTAGGACAGATTATCCAGGATAAGCACACCTCTTCTCAAGATCCTTAATCACATCTTTTGCCATATAAGGTAATATTCATGGATTCTGAGAATTAGAATGTGTACATACCTTATTTGGGGTTATCATTCAGCCTATTACATTTGGAGAATAAAATTGCCTTGTCTGGCATCTGTTCAGTTTTTTGCTAGTTGATAACCCAGCTGCAAATAGTTGGTTTTCTTCCAAATATATGAAAACATGTTATATAAATATGATTAAAATCATACAAAGAACCAGATATTTACCGTTTCTTATTGTATATGTTGATGTAAGCCAATGTTAACTGACTTGTCTTCTAGTTGACTTTGTATTTTTTTTGTGAAAGTTTAGTTTTTTCTCATTACCTTTTTTTTTTTTTAACTGAGATATAATTTACACACAATGAAATTCATCCATTTTAGGTGTATGGTTCCATGACTTTCAACAAACATAAACAGTTATGTAATCCCAGAAAAGCAAGTTATAGAATATTTCTATAATCCCCAAATTTCTGTCATCCCTTTCCTCCACTATACTCTCTAGAAGTAACTGATCTGATTTCATTCCTTTACATTTTTGCCTTTTCAACAATGTCATGAAAATAGAATCATACAATGTGGAGCCTTTTATATATCACATATTTTACTTAAAATAATGCTTTTGATTTGAATAATGCGTGTTGTTGAATGTATCAAGTCATTTGTTCCTTTTTACTGCTGTGTAGTATTTTAATATATAGATGTATCACAATTTATCTATCTCCCAGTTGATATTTACCTGAGTTGTTTCTGTTTTTTTATAATTATGAATCAAGATACTATAAACACTTGTTTATAGTTTTTTTGTGTGTGACCATGTACTTTAATTTTCTTTGGATAAGTATTCAGGGAAGAGGATTGCTGGGTTACATAGATAATGTATATTTAACTTTCTAAGAAGTTGCCAGACTTTTCCAAAGTGGCTATACCACTTTCTATGCCCACTTGACAATGTATGAAGGTTCCGGGGCCTTTGCATCCTCACCAGCCCTTGGTAATGCCAGTTTTTTGTTTCTACATCTAGTAGGTGTGTTGTGGTATCTCAATGTACATTTCCCTAATGACTAATTGTATTGAAAGTCTTTTTATGTGTTCATTTGCTATCTGTATCTCTTTGATGAAGTTTCTCTTTAAATCTTTTGCTCATTTTTAATTAATATTGTTTGTTTTCTTATTAAGTTATGAGAGTTTTTATGTATTCTGGATACTAGTCCATTGTTATATATACATTTTGTGCATATTTTCTCACAATACAGCTTCTCTTTTCATTTTCACAACTGCTTTTAGGAGCTGAAACTTTTAATTTTTATGAAGTCCAGCTTTTTCAATTTTCTCATGCTTACTGTGTGCAATCAAAGAAATCTTTGTCTAACCTCACATCTCAAAGGTTTTCTCCATTGTTTTCTTCTACAGATTTTACAGACTTGGGATTTTACATTAAGTCTAGGATCTGTTTAGAGCCACTTTTTATATGTGGCGTAAGTTATAGTTTGAAGCTCATTTTTTGCACATGGATGTCCAAATTTTCCAGCGTCATTTGTTGAAAATTCTTTCTCCTTGGTACCTTTGTCACAAATCAATTGACCACTTACGTGTGGGTCTATTTCTGGAATCTATTCTGTTCTCTTGTGTGTGTTTGTCCTTTCTCCGGTACCACACTGTCTTGAGCATTGTAGTTTCATAGAAGTCTTGAAATCAGATGTGACATTTTCTACTGTGAAATAGGAAAAATCGCACACATACACACATACACACACAGGTCTCTGCTTCCCTAGTTCCTGGCACTAAGCTCCTAAAACCCTCGAATTTCCTAAGTGATAAGATAACTGGGAGGATATTTTCTTCTGATATTTGGTCTTTGACCCTGGTTCCTACCCAAACCCCTAAATCCTTTGGAGTTTCCTTGGTGAAGGTGACTCTGGGTGGGCTCCTGGGCCAGGGGCTGGTCACCAAATCGACCAAACCATGATTAAAAACTTGGAATTTTCAGTCCAACTCCCCATTCTCCAGAGAGAGGAAAGGGGCTGGAAATGAAGTTAACTAGGGATTGCACCTCTATGATGAAGCCTCATAAAAGTCCCAAAAGTGTGGGGTTCTCAGGGAGTCCCAGTTGGTGAACCTGTGCAGCTGCTGAGGGAGTGGTGCCCCTGGAGATGATGTGGAAGCTCTGTGTCCTTCCCCCATACCTTGCCTGATGCATCTCATCCCTCTGGATTTTTAAATATCATTTGTCATATTATTTTATTATAAATTGTAAATGGAGATGCTTCCCCAAGTTTTGTGAGCAATCTAGAAAATTGTCAAACCCAAGGAGAAAGTGTGGGAATTCCAGTTTATAGTTGGTCAGTCAGGAGTCCAGGTGACAACCTGGGACTTATAATTGGTTTCAAAAGTGGGGAGGGGTGCAGTCTTGGGAGACTGAGCCCTTAGCCTGTGCGATCTGCGCTGTTATGTGCAGGTAGATTGTGTGGAATTGAGTTAAATCATGGGGCATGCTAGTAGTGTTGCAGAGAATGCTTGGTGTGGGGAAAGCCCACACATCGGGTGTCAGAAGTGTGAGTGTAGTAGTAGTATGAAAGGAAAGGAGACACCTTTTTATTTTTTCATAAGTATTTCAACTATTTCAGGTCTTTTGTTTTTCTAACATATTACTTTTCCAGTCAGCTTGTCATTTCCTTCAAAAAGGCCTTCTGAGATTTTTGTTGGGTTTGCAATAAAATTATTCCTTATTTTATTTATTTATTTATTTATTTATTTATTTTTTTTAAATGTGCTGTCTTTCTGAATACATTTAAAAGGATAAATAGTCCTTTCAATGCAGAGGAAAAGGACAGACATTGCTTTAGCACAGAGTTTATTCCTTATTTTAGATAAAATTGGCATCTTAACAATATGGAGTCTTCCAATTTCTGAACATGTTCTAGCTCTCCATTTATTTAGGCCTTCTTGTAAATCTACCTAAAAATTTAATTTTAATTGTTCATATTTTTGGTATATAGAAATTACATTTTTTCAAATATCTTGGCTAAATTTACTAATTAGTTCTAGTAGCATTTTGTGTGTGTGAGTGAATTCTTTAGGATTTTCTGTGTAAATTACCATATTTTCTGGATATAGAGGCAATTTTGGTTCTTCTATTCCAATCTGGATGCCTATTATTTCTTTCGTTGCCTTATTGCACTGGCTAGGACCTCTAGTAAGATGTTGAATAGGGATGGTAGGAGTGAACATTCTTGCTTTATTCCCAACCTTAAAGGTAAAGCACTTATTCTTTCAATTTAAGGATGCGATTAGTTGTCGGTTATATATATATACACACATATATATGTGTGTATATATATATAAATGTGTATATATATAGCCTATTTATATATATATAAAGAATATATATATATATCCTTTAGCTGTATAAGGAAGTTCCTCTCTAGCCATAGCTTTCTGAGGATTTTATCATAAATGGATATTAAATCCTATCAGTTCTATTTTTGCATTTGTTGAGATGATGGTATGGTCTTTCTTTCCTTTGTATGCTGATATGATGGATCTTTAAATGTTGAACCAATCTTCGATTCCTGGAATAAATCTCATGGGGTGATATTATGTTATTCTATTTATATATTGCCAGTTCAATTTATTTGTGTTTTGTTAGGGATTTTTCATCCATGTTCATGAGGAATATTGGTTTGTAGTTTTCTTGTAATATTTGTACTTGGTTTAGGTCTCAGAATAATGCCATTCCTCCTCCCCCTTATTCATTTTGTTCAATCTATTTATTTCTAAAGTATTCTCGAATTGACTTTTGTGTTTTACTTTAATTCCCAACCCCTCTAATCTCTAAATATCTCACCAGAACCACCTTCACTAAGTCAACCTTACTGTATGTCTTCTCTAATACAAATATGAAACACACACCGTGAATAAATATGACAATATGAGCTATCACCTATCTTCCTATGAGTCAACCCTAATTTCCCCAAATACATCATTAGCAAACAGTAAGAATGGTGTGGGAAGGATATTTGTGTGAGAGTTTAGGATATCAGTTCATGTTTTGGTTCCTATTTGTCACCATTTATTGGATGAATTCTGTATTCTAGAAACTGTGTTTAAATATACGTTATACACTTTGTGTCAATTTTTCTTACACCATGCACAAAAAGAATTTATATTTTTCTACTAAAAGGTGAGGAAATCAAGGTTTAGAGGAATTAACTGGCTTGCCGAAAATAATACTCTCAGCAGAGATTTGAAGAAGTTCGTTCCGTTCATTATGTCAAACCTCTTCTATACCAGCATCAACATTCAAAGATAGGGAGCAGCTTCACTTGTCCCTACTGGCTTCTGACCTCACTCTTCTCTCTAAGAGGCAAGCCTGAGAAGGCGGGGCCAACGTGCTACATCGTCTCCTTGCCAGTGCTTAATGACATAGAAAAATGTCGCCTTGTGGGCAAAGTTGTAAAGAGAATGGCAGGATCCTTTACTTTTAGTACCTGTCTCTTCTTTTCGATCCAGCAGGTGAAGCTCCCTTCCTGTGGGCTGGTAAAGCTTATGAGAAATACCTAGCAGTCTCCCCCGATCCCATCTTCCCACTTCATCCACGCTTCAGTCATATTAGGGACAGAACCAGGGGCAGGAACGACAGGGGAGGAAAGAATGAAGTCGTTAAAAAATATGCAGCAGCTCAGTGGGCCAAAAGGGGACCAGCAAGGGGGATGTCTGAGAGACAAGAGCATTTTCTATGTCTCCTCTCAGGTCCCTTCTACATAGAAAGTGTAGCCAAAGGGTCCAGGAGACTGGCTTGTCTCCAAGTCCTCCGAGATGTCTGCCGTGATTCTTTTCCACAAGGAAAATTCACGGAGCTCTCACAGGTAAAAAGTATTTCCTTAGAGAGGGCCAGGATTTAAAGAAATGGTGGTTGTGGGGTGGGGCATCTGTTGGAGTTTGAAAAGCTGAGGAGGTGGAGGTGCTTGGGGAGGCTCCCAATTTCTTCACTGCCCTGTTCCTGTGCTCTTTTTTGAAAAGCTGACTTGGTAACAGCCGTCCACGGGGCCTGTTCATCTCAAACTTGGGAAAGGCTACAGATAACAGGACTTCCTATTGCTGACCTCCAATTGCATTTCCATAGTCCTTCCTACCTTGCTCACCTGGAGCCACCCAGGGCAGGGATCCTTTCTAGGCCTGATCTCTCTGCCCCGTAGTCCCCATCCCTGTCACTGCCTATTTCACCCCCTGTTCGGGCGGTACTGAGTCCCCAAGTCCCCAGTACTGGCCCTCTATAGCATCCCTCTTCTCCCCATGTCATCTCTGCCATATTTCATCCCAGGAACGGCTAATTACCAAGATTTTAGTTTTTGAAAATTGTTGGTGCTCAAGATCCTACGGTGGTGAGACTCAGGCACCTTCCTTATTTCTCCAGTGGGAAAAAGGGACTATTTTCTGACCTCAAAAAAATGTGAAAATGAAGAAAACCATGACTGGAAATAAAATTCACCCATATCAAAAATAAAAAGAAAAACAAAACAAAAAACAAAAACAAAAAGTTATAAGAAAGTCACCCATATCATGCCACCCAAAGATAACTATTGCTGATATTTTATTGCATCTTCTTGTTTATTTTTTGAAATGTTTTCTATAATCAAGGTTTGTATTTTGTTTTTCATTTAATATCTTATCAAGAGTGTTTCTTCGGTCTTTAAATATCATTAGAAAATAAATTATTAATTGCTACAGCATATTATATCATATGGATGCAAATTATTTTAGTTCACCATTGTTGGACATTGCACTGCATATAGAATATATTCCTAGAGTTGGGATTTGTTTTGGAAAATCAGGATATTTTTAACACTTTTTATATAAATATTTTGCCAAATTGCTTTATAGAGAATTCATCTTGATGGGTAGTCATAGCAGAGCTACCTGGAAATGCACATCTAACCCCATTAGCACGTGTTTGGTTCTCTTCTTATCTTTGCCAGTTACATAGGTGATGAAGTCCCTTGAATTAATCAATTCATTAATCAGTGAGTGTTTACCATTCTCAGCTCTGCCATTACTCCTTGATGACTTTTGGCGTGCAGCCCCCTTTTCTATAACAGTAAAATGGAGACTTTAATAGTACTTCCAATAAAATGGGTACAGTCATAATAGTTTCTTTGTTTTCAGGTACTTTTGATGATTAAATGAAATAAGAAATGTAAAATACTCTATAAACCATAAAGCACCATCCAAGCCTATTGAGCCTGTCACATGAGCTGTAATCCTTGGAGGAGGAAGGATATAAAAAAATTCATGGAACACAATTCTTAAAACTGAAGAAATTTAAAAATTGATGCTATTTTACATGTGGCATCATTACAGTCACCATGTGTTCAGGATTTCCTAAAACTATTCTCCCTCCCCCTGAAAATTCCATATGTCTGACATTGTGCCTCAATTTTTGTTCAGAAATATATTAATCACAGACATAACGCCTGTTTTATTGCAAAGTTCATAAACCTCGTTTTGGCTAATAGACTTCAAAATTATTTCTGTAATATTGCTAAGTTTTGAGAGATGCAAAAGCTTAGTTGTGTGTATATATTACTTTTTTTTGCTTTTGGTGAGCCTGAAACATAGGGATGTGTATGTATGTGTGTGTGTGAATATATATGTTTGCATAGATATTTTTAATTGGTAAAAATGTTCTCCCTCCTTTCTGGAATAGCATTCATATGATCAGTTTTATATTTCCCCTCCTTTGATATAAAGTTGATTTTGAGTCAACTAAACACAAAGGAGTGCCTTGTTTCAAATCTTTTCTCTCTTTTTTAAAAAATTTGACTTTCCAGAAACTTGATCCAGCCAAATGAAAATCTTCAATCTTAGCCAAAAGTTTGTTCCCAAATTGATATTATCCTATAGCCTAATCCCAAAAGAAATAGTTGTTGTTGAAGATTAAGGTTCTATTAAAAAGCATTTTCATAAAAAATATGAAAATATTTTTTCTGCAATATTTCTGAGTTGGGGAGCAAGTTTAACCCCATGAATACCCGCATGAGCAGGATACTGAAAGAGACAAATGTTACTCTCAGTGATTATGACCTCAGCTCCCACTCTGTACTTTTTCTGACGCAAAACCACAGGGTTGATGTTGGTAGAGTATGTGCTCTCTGTGTCTTCTCATATATGAGATCTTACATTAGTAAATCATTAAAAGCATGCTACTTGTGTGTTACCTTCTTCCTGGTCATTTCTGAAGTCAATAATGAGCAGAAACCTCCAAAGTTGTGTTTCCAAAGGTCTGTTGATCTGACTGTACTGACATAAATATAAAATCAAACAGGAGTTCTAGCTTCAGAGATCCCACCTGGATTCTGAGGCCTCCCTGGATGGAGATTTTGAATATTGAATGGGGAGGCTAAAAGAAATCGGGTCCTCCTCATCCCTGCCCACCCTCTCCCTTCTTTTATCTCACTCCTCTTTGACCTCTGAGGGGCCTTGCATCCTTCCCTAGGGAAACTGAGGGTCCCAGGATGGGCTGATGTGGAAGGCCAGACACCCCTCATCCCACAGGCAAACATGTGCCTTCCTTCAACGCTGCCCAAGGCCAGGTGGGACTCAGATTAACTAAATACAGAGAAAAGCTTTGCAACAGATGATTTACTGAGTGTATAACTCAGAGTATGCAAACTAACAAAGTCCTGGTTGTGCCTAGTCATTTCTACTCAGGTGCTGGAAATGGCGAGAACAGAGGAAAGCTTATGCCGAGCCAAGATCTGGTGGTCTGTGACCACTGCATCACTGCCAGGCCCTGGCACTCTCCTACCTGGATATTCTTTTGGGTGAACACAATATCAAGGAAAGAATTGTGCCCCTGTCTATGCCACAGAGGTTCTCAGTCAAAGGGATTCTCAGCTGAGGCTTGGGAGGAGAGCA